GCAAGTAGATCTTGCATACGTTCTATTCCGTGTTGATAACAAGTTTCTATATTGGAGTATCCTTTTAAAGTATTTTGTGTTGTATATTCAAAAAGTGAATTACTATTGGGGTCTGGATTTTGAAATGCAGCATATATTTGATTACTTAAAGTTCACAATTGCTCACATCGATCTGGTGCAGAACAGTCATCAATATTTATTACAGTATCAATAAATTCGTCAAGAACTGATAATCGTTCGATTTTATCTTGACTTCCTTTTATTTGTCGATGTAAGTTTTTATCATCTCCAGACTTTCTTGTCATTACTTGTTTAACAAACTTGACATCATATGTTTCTAACGCTTCATCATATGCTAGATAATGTCCTTCACGTGTAATATTAATAGATGGTACTTGATTTAATCTTTTTTGAAGTTGAGGATTTTTATGCAATTTTCCTAAAAAAATAGCAACCGATTCTGCGTATCTATACTTGCCAGTAACTGGAAAAAGAGATGCAATTGCGGCAAGACTTGCGATTTGCAAATCAAAATCTCCTCTTCGAATGCCAATTTTATGCACTTTTCAATAACCAGCCCACCGGTAATAATTAAACCAAACTTTTAAAATATTGTTAGAACTATTTTTAATATCATTAATAGTCATTTTGGTATCTTTTAGATAATGATGAATCGCAATTCCAACTGCTGCCTAGATTAATTCAAGAACTGTACAAGTTGCACGATAATCTGAACCTTTTTCTAGATTTTCCAAATATTGAACGCCGAGTAGTACTGCCATGTTAAAAATCCCATATCCAGAAAAAGCAGTAATTAAAACCTGGCACATGTCTTTTGAAGTATGCCATTGTCCAAGAATAATATTAGCAGTAAGGTTTTCATTTTCATAATTTTTAAGTCTTCGAAAAATGGCTTCATCGCATGCAATATCGATTGTGGTAGCTTCTGCATTTGCTACATCATTCAAAAACATGTCACATGTTTTATATACATTTTTATTAGAATTTGGTGCTGGTCCAGGATCTAGAATTATTATTTTTGGCTTATCAAATTTGCATCCGATTTGAATATTTTCAATAACTTTTAGATGAATATCATTAATGTCGAAATTATTTATTTTTTCTAAAAGTAATTTTTCAAAAATTCTATTATAATTTCTGTTTAGATTTTCTGTAACCGTTGATAATCCAATCGTAACCTGATCCAATTGTTCAGAAAAGAAGATTGAAGCTGGTTGCAAGTCTGAAAGAAGCTTAAACTGAAATACAATTCGAAGAGTAGCATGTGCAGTTTTTTGTGCAATATTATAAATATTCCCATACATAAATGTCTTTTCTTTTATATCAATATTATCAATAACTAACAGATTGTAAATATTATTTCTAACTTCAAGTCTGTTAGCAGGATTAGAAGATTCCATACACCGTCTTTCTGTACAAACTTCATGATCCCAAATGTAAGAAATAATATGTGCGGAATGAAGAATTTTATAAAGTTTTGAAATTATATATGAACGTCTACAAAGTGAATCCAAAACATAAGGTAACCAAATTTTCCACCTACGAAAAGCAATTTTTATTATAATTGATACTAAGAAAATTGTAATTTTGTTAACTATTGTTAAATCTAGTAGAATTGATAGTAATTCACGAGATTTTCTTTGTCGTTCTGTGATCTCATATTTTTTTTAAAAAAAAACCATAATAAGGCTGCTAAAAAAAGACCACAAATTTCAGGGCAATGCTGCAGCATATTGTTTAAGAGATTGTGGATTTTCTAAGGTCAGTAAATTGTTTTTAAGCACTATACGAGATTGCCACAAGGATTCTCCAAGAAGATTTCCGAATTGTGTGCATTCCTTTTCTTCTAAAAATTCTGCTTTTGCTTTATCACTTAAATTTATTTTTGCTAATTTAAATGCTATTTGAGTCATTAATAAAGTTGGTAGAACTTGGTTATCAAAAGGACTATAAATTAAATCTTTTGGCAAACCTGATTTTAATGTCTTAATTGCTGGCAATAATGACTGGATAAGTTGCTGTTTTTGTAATTTATTATCCGATTTTGCCATTAATTTAATCCAATTTCCAAATTTTGCTAAAATTGTAGATAAATCATCATACTTATGATTGCAACCAAAATTTGAAACTCCAGGATCTAATCTTTAATGTAAATGGCCACCATTAGCTTCAAAACATTCTGAGCAGATATATAAGAGTCGTGTGTTATTTGTTGATTGAATGGAAATTAAAAGGCAAGGTTGTAATGCATTACATGATCGTAATCCTAAGCATAGAACTCTAATATTGTGTCCACATACTGTCCACGAATGATTAGAACATCCCTGACCACGCATAAAAAAAGTTTTATATTTATTACAGAATATGCATTGTGCATAATAGAGAATACTTTGGTCTGTTCCTAATGTTTGAATATTTTTATAATGTAGTTGATTTTGATCAAAAAGAAAATGTCGATAACAGATACCAAGTTTATCTAGCTTTTCATTCCATTGCATAATAGTATTATGATCAACTTCCCAAGTTTGAGTTGGGCAAGAGGCCAATTAGAACTTCCTTCATTAATTCTGTTACATTGTCATATTTTTTTTTCATTATTGTCATTATCTATAATGACACAAGATGTGTGTATTTATTGTTTTTTACCGATTGATCTAATAAAATTTCTTCAATATCTTCATCAAATTCCGATGATATATTTTCTTCTATCGCATTATTAAGATCGTAATTCTTATTTTCATTATCACTATTCTGCTGCAAAATTTTATTCCTAACATCTTGATATGCGTCAATGTCGAAATTAAGAATAGGAAAGTT